TGTTGTTTAGGATGACTGTATTCCTGTCTTCATTTATAATTTAGTTTTGGTTTATTTGTATTTGGTGGCTTCTGTTAGTAATTGTGTTTTCTCCCCTCTCAGGTTTCCTTTACTTTTCTGAGGCAGATGATTGTTCACTTTTGATCTGTTTCACTCTAGAGTCTGCCTTTGCAAAAACCTCATCAAGAGTCACCAGGTGGTTAAAATGTCATTTCTTATGGAAAAGAAAAACAGGCATTCATTGATTCTGTGTGTCTCTGTAGTAAGCAAAGGTGACACAGCCTCTCCAGAACAGGTTCCCCTGTTCTTGGAGGCTGAAGGGCACACCTTTTAAGGCTTGAGTAGCTAGGATTTATGCCTATCTCATGCTATTGAGAACTGGTCCTTAGCCTGTGGCTGACAAAGAGGCAGCTAGCTGATAATTCTTTAATTTATGCAATGACATCAGTCTCATCTGGATCCATTTATCCAGCTCAAGGATAAGGAGTGCTTACAGAGGAAGTCCATGGGAGATCAATAAGTAAATCTTTTCCAAGACCAATGCAAGACTGCACCTCAGCAGATTTTCTTGTAGAGGTTGTGATCTGCTTCTTTGGGGGATTTTATGAACGGCTTGGACAGATGTCTCTCAGAGGTGATTAAGGTGAAGTCAGAGGGTGATATCGTAGGCTTAAATGACCTCTGAAGAGTCCTCTGAGCTCTTTGTTTTTTATTTTTTGTCATAGCTGCTGGAGGCTCCTTAAATCCCAAACACCTCCAGTGCTTAGACGCCAAGATAATTTTACGGATACACAGAAAATCAAGCTCCTTACATTATGAGGGTGCTTTGCTCCATTATTGTCTGATAAAAATACATTAATAATTGTGGGCACAGGTGCCCGGCTCTTCCACAGAGTGCTATAGTCATAAGGCCCCAGAAGCTGGCCTCTTCCCCTTCTCTTGTTTCACCCCACAAATATCTCCTGTGCTTTAGGCTGCACTGTAGCTCCACTTTGACAAGAGCAGAGCATTCCCACACCGAACACCTTCTCATCTGACTGGCAGGAAACCTTCCTGCTTGTGGGTTTGATCCCCTGTGGTTGAGACGGGTGTGGAAGGCAGGCGTGTCAGACCAGAGCTCTGAAAGTTTGGTCTGCTCTGAGAACTGGGCACTAGAAAATAACTATTTCTATTTGTGATACTTACCTGATGGTAGTCTTGATTTGTGGTTGATATTCACGTGTCCTTCACACAGATTTCCCTTCCCTCCCTCCCTACACAGAAAAAACACGTTAGTTCTCAGTGTGCTTGGCCTTGCCAGTGGCTTCTCCTGTTGCTTGTGTTTGGGAATGTGAGTCTCATCATATCATTAGAGTAATGAACCAGTTTTCAAATCCCTTGATTTCTCTTTCTGCTTGGCAGCTAATTGCATTATTAGGACAAGTCATGTAATATCAGCACTTCAGTTTTCTTAGCTGAGAAATGGGTAAGACGTCCCCAGATGCTGAGATAGGGCTAAGAGGGCCTCCAACAGAACTGCTGTGAGAGGGGAGACACAGCCACCTTTCTGCAGCGTTGGGATTGCCAGCGGCTCCTCGCAGCAACCAGCTTGTAGCTTGGATGGCTGTTCTGCCCCGAGGCTCTCTTCAGCAAAGCCAGTGGAGGCAAAGCAATACTTTCTCTTCCCTCTGCATGGGAAGGAGCAGAGCTGCAAATTCTTTCTGCCTGGATGTAGAAAGATTGCTCTGTATTCATTCCTTCTTTCTTACATATCCTAACACGCACTGCATACATGCAAGCAACTATGAAATTTGGCTCCTCATTTAAAAGCAGCACGCAAATCATAGAACCACAGAATCACTTAGGTTGGAAAATACCTTTAAGATCATCAAGTCCAACATAAACCTAACACTGCCAAGTCCACCACTAAACCATGTCCCTAAGCACCATATCGACATGTCTTTACCCTCAGGGATAGTGACTCAACCACTTCCCTGGGCAGCTTGTTCCAATTCTTGACAACTCTTTCTCCTTTAAACAAGATCAGTGCTGAGAAAGAAAAACAAGCCTTTTGAAATAATGTGGAAAGCACATGAATTTACCACTTGGCAGTAGTTTGGATTTTCAATAAAGGAGTTTTCATGGAAACTGGGACTGGGTTACCAGGAAGGTATTGGAAACACACACACCTCATTCCAGCATGTATAGCTTGTAACTGCTTCAGTACAGAGGTGACCTGCTAGTACTTAGTACTGATCATGCTCCTAGTAGGGCAGCTGGGATAGCCCAACACATGGCCATGCAGCCATACTCTCTACACCTACTCTGCCGTGTCCGTGCTGCCTACTGGGACCAGTTCCTGGCTCATGTATCCTGTGAACCATGTCTAGGAACTGCTTGGAAGAGTTGTAGTTGGCACAGACACAAGCACGTTGGAGAGTGTGAGAACTACTGTGTGGTAGCTGCCTGCCGGTGTTCAAGACTGTGCCCCATCCTGGTTTAGCTCACTAGTTTTGACAGAGCTATTGCATCCGGATAGGCAGCACACTGCTGGAAGGAGCTACTGGACCCACCTGGGAGCCTGGCCAGTGCATTTCTTGGGTCTGATTTGAGTTCAGCAATGACTGAACCTGGTTCAGGGCCATTCTCCAGAACTGGCTGGCAGAGACAGGTCTGCAGCACAAAGCATTAGCCAGGAAAGGCTGTAACGCAGAAGGCAGGTCCTGGTACTGTGTCACAACTTCCCTCCAGCTTCCCACATCCAGCACACAGGGCGGAAAAGCTGGAGAGGAGCTGTGCCACCGCACCGCACAAGCAGTGCTGCTGAGGCAAGGGTGTTGAAAGACGTAACCAAAGCATCTTTAGACCTTCCTCCATCAGCTCCACTCCATAGAAGATCCACCTGCGCACACGTACACGGGCTCAAAACCACCCAGAACTACAACTCTGTGTACAGAGACTCACAGACTGGCTTGTCAGGGGGAAGGTTGGATGAGCTGGAGACTCACAAGGTGCCCTTGCTGTAACAGCAGTTGCTTTTGTTGGAAGAACAGGAACTGAAGATATGGACAGTCTTCCACTGGGAGTGGCTTAGTTTAGGCAGGTGGAGAAAGGCCTTGCACTAAAACTGGTGTCTGTGGGCTGTGCAGAACAGCAGTGTGGCACTATAGGACAGAAGTGAGGGCATTGGCGTCTCCAAGATGTGCTATGCACTGGAAAGGGGGAGGAGAATTGTGGTTGCTCTGCAGATCCTCACTGTGCAAGCAGCTCCCAGGCTTAGCACATCCCTGCCATGGACTCTGGTTCTTAACCAGTAACTAGAAATAATTCTTCTTGATTCATGCAGTTCACATTTAACAGCAACATAAAAATAAATTTCAAGTCCCATACTCCACTTCAGAAAATGTAATGGTTTGAACTGATTTTCAGGTAGAGTTTGGGTTCAGTGTGACTCATTAGGTTATAAATTATACAACTTGTCAGCAGTCCGTTTCCCTACCAACTCTGCGGCAGCTCGCCAGTGACACCGTTCCAGCCTTCAGCTGCTCTGCCAGGGAATAGGTTTTTACCTCCTGCAGGAGTATCACTTTGCTGCTCCTACAGCAGATGCCACAATCCAAATGGACTTCCTTCATGCAAGCGGTGGTGGGCTGTTCTCCTTCTGCAGAAACTCTCAAGGAGCTAAGTTTCACCCTATCCCAGAATCTTCTGTTCCCCAGGACTCTTGTGGTGGTGAGCCAATGGAATGTCCTGTAAATGCAGATGTGGGGACAGGTTCTCCCCCCGCAGTTTACTACAGTGGCATTTCCTAATGAACTATAGCACTTCTGCGTGGTAAACAGAAGTCTTGCTGCTGACGTGGTCTGCTTCTGCTTAGTTCTTGGTACCAAAAGACTAATTACTAGATACCGGTTGTTCTTCTAAGAAACATAAGTCAACACACATTTTGCATCTACAGATAAATGCTGATTGGTAGAAATAGCCATACCAAAGAGCACAAATAAACAACAGGAATTCTGTTTACAGTTAGCACGTTTTTATTTAAGTAATTATTTTAACTGTGTACTCTTAAATGTCACATTTTGTGGTACAAATGGCTTTTCAGCTATTGGAATCAGCTTCTGTTTCTCATTTCCAAATTTTTGAATATCCATTCCAGTGCCACTGGACAGCATTTCCCATTTAGTCTGCTGAGACTTCCCCTGGATGTTAGTTGCAGGATTCTTTCTTGGCTGACATAAAAAGCATTACTGAAATTTTAGGTTGTTTCTAGCAGTGTCATTTACACAGAAAACACATGGAGTAAAAAGTTGAGATATTACTTATTTTGAAAAACAATTTATGCTTTTATCCCATCACTAACCCACTTGGAGCCACATAATCTCTCTGACCAACTTAGAAGATAATGCGTCCTTTTTATAAGACATTAGGAACTGATGCTTTTATTAAGCTGACCTTGTTTTGCCCACTTCAGAAGAATTTTGGTGGACTGCTATAAAATCATTTGTGAAAATACATGTGATCTTTGTGTTTATTGTTTACATACCTTGAAACATAAGGCCTTTCTCCTAGTTTGCCATTAAGAGAGTTATAACTGGACATTTGATTAAGAAGAGTCATTAGAGAAGCTCAGTGATTGGAATATTATAACTGATATGAACATTCAAACAAAGAGAATGAATCTGTATTTGAAACTGATGGCAAACATCTCTCCTTGGTTCCCTCAGGTTATTTACGTACTGATATTGTGGTTTTGTGAACTGTCTAGCTCAGCAAGTGGCCAGGGTTTGATTTAGGCAGATTTGTAACTTCTTATATTTAAAGATGTTACTTTTAAACTGCGTGGTTTTACTGAGAGGGAGAAAGACTTCTAGATCTTATTTTTCTAATAGGCCAAAATGAGAAGATATTGGCTAGGGACATGTGATGGTAAAGAGTTGAAGTAAACAGAGTAAATTGACTGAATGCTATTTTAGACCATCATATGAAAGGGAACTTAAAATACTTTCTTGTGTTTGCAGGAATAGACAATCTCTATGAGAGGGCTCTTCACATCCGCAAACTCCTCCTTACTTTGCCGAGGTCGGTCCTTATAGTGATGAGATACCTCTTCGCCTTCCTCAACCAGTAAGTGCTTTATAATCCCCTGAAGTACTCTATCTTCATCTGCCTTCCTCTGCAGGTATTGAAGTTCTTTGGGTTTGCTCATGCTCTACGTAGAATATATATTTAAGCTCCATTTGACACAAAAGATGGTCTTCTAATTGGCAATGCAAATAGAAGGAAAACACCGGTTTTCATTCAAATTAAAATTCCATTTGTCCAAAACTGAACAAAGTTGTAATAAGACAGATTAAAGTGTTGTCTGAAATGGGGAGTGCAAGCTACAGCATTAAAGCTGATAACAAAATAAGCTAATAAGAAAAATAACAAATACAAACTGTAATGACATTAAAAACAGTTTGCGTAATTTAGAAGTAGATTCTTTTTTTCCTTATCTCAAACCATTTTTAATCTCCTGACAGGAAAAATAAACTGTATATTCAAGCAGCACAGGCACTACAAGCTACCTCTTTGATGCTAGGCACTGCCAGGGTGAGACTTTGTGTTGCTGCTTCTATTATTTGGTAATAGGGCTACCAGTATAGAGAACATACATCCCTGTGTATGCCTTGATATCGAGTAGCTTGGTTCTCACATTGCAAAACACAGGCAGCTACTGGAAGGAGGGTTGTGTGAGAAAGAGAAAGTGGTATCCATGTCTTCATCATCCCAGAAAAACATTTTCATTCTCAAAGAGAAAATAAAAGACAGGTTGGGCAATTGCACTGTGTTTCTCCTTCCAGTCCTTCACAGCCCTCTCTGGTTTTGCTGACCCCAGTATTTTCACTGAAAATTTTGTTTCTTGTGCACTTTGCCCCTTTTCTGCTGCCATATTCTCTGTTTCCTGTTATATCTGTTTTCATATTGCCTTTTTCCTCTTTTTTTTTTTAAATTTGCCCTCTGCTGATTCATTCTGTGTTTGTGACCTTCCCCTTTTCATCCATCCTGTCTGTTCCTATAGAAACAGGGCCTTTGCAGCCAGGTTATGTGTGCATGCCTGTATTCACAGCTGTTCCCGTTTCCTTTCTTCTAGTAATTTCTGAAGCACTTTCAAGCAATATTTAAAAGAGGGGCAGAGATCTAAAGTTTTATGAAAATAACCATTCATTTGAAACGTGAATTCATTCCCTAAAAGTGACGCTGTGTAAATGTCTCAAAGGCTTATATCACAGCTTCTCCTCTATTTAGACATACCGATTGACCAGAGCTATATGAGGTTGTACTTGTTACATGGTCACGTTAGCTACGTCTGTGCTCTCCACAGGAATGCAATTCAGAAAGCAGGCTAAATCCCTTATTGCCTCCAAATTGCTCCTGGTGCATCCACAGGAAAAACATTCCCATAGTTTGTCTTTCTACAAATCCAATTCTGTTTTTTGCATATGCAATTATGCCTGCTTGCCCACATGAAGTCATCAGACCTCATGGCAGGCCTCATCTAGTCTAGCCTCCTGCTCAAAGCTTCTAAAGTTAGATCAAGTTGCTCAAGGCTTTGTCCAGCCAAGAACCTCAAAGGGCAGAGAATCCACAGCCTCTCTGGGCAGTCAGTCCCGGTGCTTGGTCACCCTTATAGTGAAGAATTTTGTTCCTGCTTCCAGTTGGAATATCCCTTGCTGTGACTTGTGTCTGTTGCCTCTCATCCCTTTGCTGTGCATCTGTGTCTGACTCTCTCCTGTTTATAATTTTGATAGTAGTAGATTGCAGGTAGATTCTCTAGTAGCCTTCTCATCTAAAGTCTGAACAAACTCAGTTCTCTCCACTTCACCTTATAACCCATATGCTCCAGCTCCCCAGCCATCTCAGTTGCCCTTTTCTGGACTTGCAGCAGTTCGTCAGTCTGTCAAAACTAGACACTAGTACCTCATGCGCAGCTTCACGAGCATCAAGTGGAAGAGGAATAATCAATTCCCTTGACCTGCTGGCTTTGGTCTTCCTAATATAGCCACATATGCAACTAGCCTTCTTTGCGGGAGGACACATTTCTGAATCACAGCGAACTTCATGTCCAGGAAGTGCTTTTCCCAGTGCTTTTCCTTGGGAGCTATTACGCAACAATCAGCTCCAGACTGTAATAATACATGGGATTATTCCATCCCACAGGCAGGACTTTGTGTTCGTCCTTGCTGAACTTGATGAAATCCCCAAATCCCCGTGCGTCCATTCCTCCAACTTGTCAAGGTTCTTCTAAATGGTAACCCTGACCTTTAGCATACCTACTGCACTGCCCTCAGTGTGGCATCATCTGTAAGTGGGCTGAGTGTGCACTCCATCCTGCTGTCTAGGTCATTCATGGAGATGTTGAACAGCATCAGCCCCAGTATTGAGCCCTGAGGAGCACCATATGTTACCAGCCACCAGCAGAACTTCCCATGTTTCATGATGATAATCTTTTTTATGTGTTTTTATGCACTTCCTTGCACACATCAAAAGGCTGAACCACCTTATAAATAAGTAGAACAAGATGTCTCCAATTAACACACAGGACATGATAATATGGCATAAGAAAGGGGAGAGCATGATTAATTTTACAAGTTATGAGGGGAGTAATTTAGAAGGTTTGCCTCTTCAGTTTGTATTGTTTGTACACAGAAAATGCTCTCTAAAATTCCCTTTCTAAAGGTAATACGATGCTGTATTTAAACACAACCAGACAATAATCCATATGCTGCTTCAGAGTGCAGAACAACACTGAGATAAAGGGCATCCCAGCACTTCAGGTTCTTCTGTTTGACTGGCCCTGCACAGAACCACTTAAAAGCCAGCATTTCAACTAGAAATGTCAATGCTTTTAAACAAGAGAATAAATAGCAACTTTTCATTCAAAATCAAAATTGAAAACCAGTAGTGTTGCATTTTCTGAAGAAAAGGAGAGCTTGCAAAAGTTGGTTAATATGAGTAATCAAAGCCCTTTGTTTGGACGCTTCCAAAATGAAACTCTTGTGGGAGTTTGTGGGCAGAAGACAAGGTGCTCAGGGGTTTTAGGTTGTACGGTAAAAACAGAAACCAGAAGTCACAAGAGCCTTTGTAAGACAAGAACCAGGAACTAAGTTGCCTCCAGAAGACAATTTTGCCTAAGTTATATAGCCAGATGATGGGAGAGATGCATCAAGGTCTCATGAGAAATGTATACCCACTTTGGATCCAGTCTAATTAAGGCTCCAAGTATAAGCACTGATGAGATTGAAGCAGCAGCAGTTGATGCATTTTACATTTGCCAATTAGGTCAGCGTACACTAAACACAATAGTGTGGGAACACACACATATATGTGCTATAAACTCACTTTATAAGGTATATAGCCTATTGACAAAACCCCTTTTTTTGTTTTGTTACTTTATGTGGGATTAAGTGTCAAGGAGAGCAGGAAATCTCTAAGTGGCAATGGAAAATAAAGCTTCTCCAGTTTTCAGAATAAGGTTAGTCACAGTGGAAAAGTAAATGTTTCTTGATTTTTCTGTTATAACAGCCTTTCACAGTACAGTGATGAAAACATGATGGATCCGTACAACCTGGCCATTTGTTTTGGGCCAACCCTGATGCCTGTTCCAGACATACAAGACCAGGTGTCTTGTCAGGCCCATGTGAATGAGATAATCAAAACTATCATCATCCATCACGAGGCTATTTTTCCAGATGCTAAAGAACTTGATGGGCCAGTGTATGAAAAATGCATGGCTGGAGATGACTACTGGTAAGTCAGAATATTACCCTTCTATCTCCTTAACAAAATCATTAGACTGGTTGTCTGGATAAGTCCTGTGATACAGAATTACTTTCACACACAATAGAAGTACGAAGATAAATGAGAAGAACATTTAGGTTCACACAGTAAAGTGTTAGCAATAAAAAACCATGAAGTAAAGGCAATTATTATAAGGTTCCCTACAGCATTTTGTGGAGGAAGCTACCCTTGTATTCAGCCAGACGCAGCCACAATTCCAGCTGTACTGTGCAGAGCACACAGCCAGGTAGGAAACTGGCTTTCTGGCTATGAACCACTTTAACAAATTTCAGCTTGTGGTGCCTTCCCCCTGCTCCTTTTCTATCTTAGCAACACACACACTTTTTACAAATGAAAGGATTCAAAGGTTCTAGGAATTTCTTAATAACTGAAGGTGGTGTTTGAAGGAGAGGTGTGTAGGCTTCTTCAGGAATTGTGTATTCATAGCACATCATGAGAATTGTGTTGCACATAACTTTATAACATTATAAGAATAATTTTAAATAATCTCATGGGGGTGGCATATTTTTGAGATGTGTGGTTTTTCTCTCTGCTCAACCTTTTATTTCCCTTCAGTGACAGCCCATACAGCGAACATGGTACCTTAGAGGAAGTGGACCAGGATGCTAGCACAGAGCCCCATACCAGTGAAGACGGTATGTCTGTTACATTACTGTGCCTTTGATGGGAGTAAGTTTTACAGGTGTTTCATGCGGGAGACCTTCTTCCTTTCCTAATTCTGTCTTCTTTGAAAGAAAGGGATTTCAGTCCTGGTGTTCTGTAGCAAAGCCATCATCTTTAATCTCTGTTTGTGTGCTTTTTACTCTGATTCATCTGTGTTTGACCAGCTGTTTCCTTGTTCTCTCCTGATTTGCCCAGTCACAGGAAGGGCAAGAGAGGAACTGTTCCAGTCAGCACATACTATTTTCTGATATAATGTTACATTTTTAGTGACTCTTTATTTTTTGTCTGCAAAAACTAAACCTATCAAAAGTGTGTCTTTAAATATTTCGGCTAAGGGGTATTTGCCATTCGGTGGGCTCTATTTTCATATGAATTTAAAAGCTATTCCATCTAAAGGATTTATAACTTCTGAAAAACATGTGTGTAGCCCCCACTGTGCAACTTCTGAACAATAGTAATTTGCTATAAATATCAATCACATATACACTGACAGTTCTGGGTATAATAGATATCCATGAAAAATTTGATGCATCTCCATCATGTCAATTCTTTTTAGCCAGGTTTCTTAAAGGTGGATTTGACTGTGACATATTTCAATTGGACCATCCTTCAGGTGTCCTTCTCAGTAAGGGTCTGCCCAGTTTCAAGCAAATGTAACAGATGGTAAAAGGTGTCAAAATTGTCAAATAGCTACCATTTCCTGACGATTAGTAGCCAGTCAGAGGTGAAAGATTCAGAATAATGCTCCCCGTAGAGAAGAGCTGCAGTGTGAGCTCACTGCATATCTGGCCAGCAGTCAACCCAGACAGAGCAACCAGCACACATGCACCAGCAGAAACAAAAGCTGCCCCTTGTCCATCTTAGAGGACGCATGGAAAGAGGAAGAGACAGAGAGGGGCAAAGGGGAGGAAAAGAGCTATAGCAGAGAAGGAATTATTTTTTTTAAAAAGGATGTCATAAGGGATACTGGTTAGGAGCTGGGACGATTGCCATAGGGAAGGGGAACAGGAAGGTGTATCTATAGGAAACCTGGCTACACTGCTCCCATTGCACAGAGAACAATGTAAACAATAGTTGCACTCTAGCTATACCCGTTTGCTTTGTCACGTAGACAAGCTGTCGGTGACAGATTGCCTGTCTGTCCCCCTTTGCCACGGTGAGGACGGGCAGGCAGAGTCTATCAGTGCAGCTGTTTGGAGAGGAGGGACAGTTGGGTGGGCAGGAATCACAGAAGGGGAAAAAACTGAGGATAGGTGAGAAGTCAATGCTAATCTTCTGCCTGGGGTGTATACCCATGCCTGCACTTGCAGTGGGGAATACTGACAGTTTTACAAGACAGCCTGTACATGGGTTCCTCCCCACCGGCTCTGTAGAGCTAAACCTACCATCTTTCTACAACACAGCTCCGCTAAATGGTGTGAACAAACTCATAATGGCACTTTATTTTTCCAAGAGAGTATAGCTATACTTTATAAGAACTCTTTCTTCCATTGGAGCTATGAAGCAAGAGTGGAAGCTGAAGAAGTCTCATTGAGAGCACAAGTTAAGTAGTGAAATGCAGGTGACACACCAGTTCAATGTATTGGGGACAACTTTGGGGTTCCTTGACAAAACTGAGAGATAAAGGCCTGAGTGGGCATGGCAAAGAAGTGCAGTTTTCCAGCAGTAATCAAAAGCAGTTACTTCAAAACCATGCCTAGGAAAGGGCAGGTCAAGTTTGGCGATTAGCCCCTCTATTCCGCCCTGGTGAGACCCCACCTGGAGTCCTGCGTCCAGCTCGGAAGCCCTCAGCCCAGGAAAGACATGGACCTGTTGGAGAGAGTCCAGAGGAGGACCACAAAAATGGTCAGAGGGGTGGAACACCTCTTCTATGAGGACAGACTGAGAGAGTTGGGGTTGTTCAGCCTGGAGAAGAGAAGGCTCTGGGGAGACCTTCTTGCAGCCTTCCAGTACTTCAAGGGGGCTTACAAGAAAGATGGGGACAGACATTTTAGCAGGGCCTGTAGCAATAGGACAAGGGGTAATGATTTTAAACTAAAAGAGGGTAGATTCAGACTAGATCTAAGGAAGAAGTTTTTCACAATGAGGGTAGTGAAATACTGGCAGGTTGCGCAGAGAGGTGGTAGATCCCCCATCCCTGGAAACATTCCAGGTCAGGTTGGACGGGGCTCTGAGCAACCTGATCTAGTTGAAGATGTCCCTGCTCACTGCAGGTGCATTGGACTAGATGGCCTTTAAAGGTCCCTTCCAACCCAAAGAGTCTATGATTCTATGACTAAAACATCAGCAGGATCCAGAGGAGCAGGACTGTGGCATTGCACAGTGCGTCACCTGTGCCTCAATAATCATGGGCTTTACCTCGCCACTGTATTTTATAATAACAGCTTTACATTCCTCTTGTGGTACTATCTGTGTTACAATTGTGTCACTGGTGAAGACAAACCCTGAAAAGAATAGCTGTCCACAGGACAAAGTTCTGTTAAAAGATTTAACTGCTCAAGACATGGTTTTTTTTCACCAGATTGGCCAGCAATTTAATTCTAGTTGCCCCATTTCACCTTTTTAATTAATTCAGTGCTGAAAGGAAGCAGACTTTTGTGTTTACAGCAAAATAATTGTTAGCACAAAAATATTTGCAATCTAGGGAAATACTGCTGCAAAGCTAAAGATTAGCAAGCCTGGATCTCGTACAAAACAGTGCTGGTCTTCAGTTCCCAGCCTCCAAGCTCTAAACCATTTTTTTCCACTGATACAGCTTTCCATTATAATAGTACGTTTTTCTGATGTAGGTTACAGACTTTAAATTAAATGCCTTTACCATCTCTTTGCACATACATTCATGTGTTTGTCCTTTGGGCAATTCCTTTTTAAAAATGTTCCTGAGAGGTGGGAATTTTTCACTTTGTCTATTGGGTGGGAGTGTTGATCTGCTGGTTGTCCAGAGAAGGGCAACGAAGCTGGTTGGGGTGGAGCACAAGGCTTACGAGGAGCGGCTGAGGGAACTGGGGTTGTTCAGTCTGGAGAAGAGGAGGCCGAGGGGAGACCTTATCGCTCTCTACAACTACCTGAAAGGGGGGTGTGGCGACGAGGGTGTTGCCCGCTTCTCCCAAGTAACCAGTGATAGGACAAGAGGAAATGGCCTCAAGTTGCGCCAGGGGAGGTTTAGATTGGATATTAGGAAAAATTTCTTCACTGAGAGGGTGGTCAGGCATTGGAACAGGCTGCCCAGGGAGGTGGTGGAGTCACCATCTCTGGAAGTGTTCAAAAAAGTGTGGATGGGGAGCTTCAGGACGTGGTTTAGGGGACATGGTGGTGTTGGGTTAATGGTTGGACTTGATGATCTTGAAGGTCCTTTCCAACCTAGTGATTCTGTGATTCTGTTATTGAACTTCATGAGAGTCACCAATTGACCTGTGATGGACAAAAGAAAAGCTTCTACTAAAGAGTCTGGAGTAATTTGGCATTTTAATGCGATTGATTCATTGATTATAAGCTGGATGCATCACTGCCAGCTCTATGTGGAGAGAGAGAAGGGGAGGCACAGCATTGCTGCTGTATTGATCAGACACGTGGTACTTACATATTTCCCTCTGTTAGGAGATGGAAGAAGCAGATTCTATAAATGGAGGGGGGTACGTTGAAAATCTGATTAGTTTTATGCTAAAATGTTGTATATATACACAAGACCAAGCAGCTAACCCCATATGAATTACAGGGTTATTGAAACATAATCCAGAGGCTATGATCAAAAGTGAAAGGATTTTTTTTTCTACTTTAGTTTTTTTTACAAGAATTACTTGCTGTATAAAGTTAAACTACAAGTGCATCTGTCTATGTCTATTAGAATAAACCCATCTGCAGGGGCTGACTCAGTAGCGCTAGGCATGTTTAATTACAACTTAGAAAACAACAAGACTTTTTAAAAAGTAAAAATTAAGTTATGTCTGCAGAGGTAAAATCTCGTAGCTTGGGGAAAGAAGGCTGGAACTTATAACTGAGCATATAAATACTTCATAACTGCTTAATTTTAAGCATAAAAATTGCCTTTTTTTCATAAGGTTACTGGTGTTCATATATTTCTGTTGATCACTGGAAAAGGAAGAGGGAAGGAGAAAGACGTGCATTTTACTGTAGTGTTTTCAGTCATTATTTAAATGTGCAGCAAGTATCTCTATTAAGGAAAACACATAAGTTTCTTCTTTCTCCAAAATCGGGAAATGAAATTTCATTTGTTCAGAACATTTGTTCTTAAGCTGAGGCACAAAAAAATCTATCTGTAATTTTGCTGCAGAAGAACCTTTACCTGAAAGTGCCTCTGTAGTAAAGATTCAAAGGATATTGTTCATGTTTTGCTGAGGCAGTTTTTAGCATATTTCCTTTACTTTCAATTTGCTGGAGATTTTTTATTCTTGTTGGAGGCATATGGAAAAGGGTGCCTAGGTTTGTTTTCAAAGGAAATAAGAGAGAATTTCCTGAGGAAGTTAAACAGATGGGTTTCTCCTGGGAAAACACACATACAATTAATATCATACTGTTCATAGATATCTTATAAACATAGGGTAAATATTGAGATGGTAGTTTTGCTGGAAACAAAAATTACAGGGACACATAAGACTGTAAGTTATTGTTGTGTCCCAACACATAGTAATTTTCCTTCTTTTCAGTAATGCATGCTGTGACTGACATTTTGCCAAATTCTGTTCTGTCGACACCTTGCAACGCTTCTTTGCTTTTGCTGTTCCCCAGTCAGAGAACTGCTGTCCTGAGGACAGGACTTTGAAACTGCAAAGCCACTGTTCTCTGATGGGGTGCAGAAGAGGATAAAGACATCGGGGGATAGAGGATAAAGACATCGGGAGATAGCGTCTTCCCAGGGAGTTCAAGGACATACGCTATTCCCGACAGCCAGGGTACATCTGGGAGAACGGAGGAAGAGCAGAGCAATAGCAAGCGCCCCCAAAAAGTGCAGGGGATGGTCTCCCATCTTTTCCTTAACTCTTTGTGCCCTGGGGCGTAGAGGGCAGCAGTGCCACTTCAGTGCCCTCACCTCCGTAGGGAGGTTAGTACTACATCTGGCACTCCAATCCCAAAATTAAAATTAGCACTTGTGTTTCTTCTGCCCTTTCTGCTCTTCCAAGCAGTGTAAGCTTTTCCCACAGTTCTTCAGTTTGTCCTAATTTTTCATTGCCATAGCATTGCCTGAGTCACTAGAGATGATAGTATGTCATCAAATACTTCTTGCTATTGTAGGCAAGTGCCCCCAGCTATGGACAGAACCGTGCAATTATATTTCCCTCCAAGCTGTCAGTTTTACTGTTAGTCATTCAGTACCACACAGAATTTGAGTTACAGTTCCCAAACTGAGCTTTCATCACCTTTGCTTTTTTGGAAATGCTTGTCTGTCAGTCAGTAACCTTGATATTAAATGGCTTAACTTTTCAAAATGCATTTATTTCTAGGAGTAACTGTCATGGTACTTTGGTTTTTACTATTAAGGCTTGACCTGTCACAAGGTGAATTACTATTTAAGTACAGTCTCAGTACTGTTTGCTGTAGGAAAGTTCTTTTCACGTAAAAGCGACCTTCAAGCAAAGAAAATGCCCCTTTCAAATTAGTAAAACCAGTCTGAACTTATTTTTGGTTCTATTAAGAAAACTGTGTGAGATCTACTGGGCACTTCTCCCTGAGGAGGTGGGATTTGTTACCCAGGCAATCTAACGAGCATGTCTCAAAAGTCACATCCATTATGGGTACCTTACCAATTCACACAACTGGTTCCAGTGGGGCAGCTTCCTTCAGGCCTCTGAGAAAGTGTGTGAGTCTTGCAGGCGATGGAAGGATACGAAAAACGGATTCCCATCGTGCACCACATTTAGTGTAATTCCGCTGAGGGAGATAGAACTATTTCTAGTTTAGTCCATTAATTTGTAAATAAAAAGACCTGTATAGTCAAATGTGGGATACTATATGCTCCCTTGAAATTAGCAGAGAAACAGGCGATCCCATCGCTAATCAGTGTAGGCGTTTATCAATCAATCCAGCACCCATCGCTATTATCAGTTTACTTCAGAGAATGACGAAGGAAAATATGTACAGGAGGTTTGGGATTTTCTTACTTGCTGTAAAGATTTCTTTGTTTCATTGGGGTTTTTTGCATTTTACAGTATTACCCGTTAGTGAGTGACTGGCTCTCTGAAACAAATTCTTGACCCCTTCTTCTATAACCCGTAACTTACCTGCAATCTGAGAACAGTGTGTTCATAGAAACGTCTGCTCCTTTGCAATCCTACCTGATCCCAGTAATACCTTCTTATAATGAATTCCACAAGCAATGGGCAGATATGTGTAAAAACAGCCTTCTTTTGTCAGTATTACATTATTGCCATTTGATTTAAATTTGATTTAATATTGCTCTCTTAAACATGATGCAAGACAAACAGGCATGTTTCATTTTAATTTTTTTTTTCTCTTCTTTTGGCAATAATGTCTTTCCATGCCTACAGTCACATCTCTACTTTCTGTTATACTGTAGATAGAGTATCCAGAAATGAAAACAGGATTGTGCATTAAGTTATATCACTAATAGATACACCAGCATTAAAGTTTTGCCGTTTTTCCAGAATGTTTCATTCTATGTCATCTTTACATTTTCTTTGCTTAAAAACATAAAACCAAGAAACATATCACCTCCCACCCACCCCCAGGGAATGCCTGTCGGCGAGGCACCCAGTAGTGATACATTTTCAGGAATTAATACTGTTATTGCTAGATTCTTATTTGCGTTTATATAATCAAAGTGATTTCTGACAGCGTACATTACTTTTGCATTTGTAATGGTGATTTCCCCATACCACCATACGCCATCTCTGGAAAGTTTCCGAGCTTGTAACTCCTGAGCACCCTGGAGTTCGTCACTGACGGGAGCTCTTAGCGTGACTGCAGAAGCCACAAACCACAAGACAGCCTTCTGCAGGCTGGGCAAGTTATTAAAAAAAAACATCTGCGAACTGTGATCTTAATAAAGGTGCTATCATTATGTTTTCATGCTGTAGGATGAAGTTAATTTCAAAAAGACATTCCCGTGCAAAACGTTGTCGTAAAGGGACAGTGGCTTTCATTACCAGCCTCGTTCTTTGGGGAATTAAAACCTCAGCAATTTTAATTTGCATCAGACAGAAAGTTGCTATGCTAGTCATTATCCCAGATGTTAATTTCCATCTAAATATTGCTCTAATTATGTAAAGAAATTTGTCAATTCGGGGACTCTGAGTTACTGGAATCAACAAAGTGTGTGCATTTTAAACCTGTATTTTACAGGTTTTTCTTTATGTTTTGAGGCTGTGATCGCCAATTTTCATCTGTTTGAGCTCAGGTGCTTTTAGTTTTGTGCAGAAGAAACTAGAGGTTGTTAAAATCACAGCTGTCTCACTGACGTCCGGGCACAGCTCTGAAGATGCCTGCGAGCAGACATTCAGCAGGGACCCTTCGCCAGCATCAGTAGGCTTCCCACCCAAGCACAGGTTACGGGATGGAGTCCGTTACCAGTGTAAGGCTGAGCTTGCCAGCGTACTGACAGAAGATTAGCCAGCACTGTAAGCAGTGCTTGACTTCAGACAATACCGGCCTCCCCTGCAGAATCCAGAGGAACTCAGGATGCTGGAGCAGGCAGAGCTGCCTCAGGGCAGCGTGAGGCCACACAGGGACCGATTCTGCGGAGGACTCGTTCTCAGGCGGTCTGGAGCCATCTGCCTCACTCACAAAGGGTGTTAAAGGAGCAGATTAAAGCACTATGCTTCGGTGTTGTGTAAAACAGTAGGTTTTCACCAGGTCTGCACACTCGGCACGTAAAAGACATCTCGTAGCCTGATTAGGCAATGCGTCCCTACTCATGCACAGGGAAGTCCTGTCTTCCTTCCTTTGCCACCACAGATGGCACTCCCGTTTACTTTTCCTTTATCACGCTGCTTCCTCAGACCTCTGATTATTCATCTGGGTTTGTTCATCTTATTTTCAGAGAGGTCTTAATTTCCTGGCCTCCATCCCGCTCGCAGCCAAGAAGGAGCCCTTGCAGCAGGAGGCAGAGGCCTCTCCCACACCAGCAGCTATTGTAACATTTGAGGATGCTGTTATGTTTTCTGCAGCTTGCAAAGCAACCCAGATGTTTCACACTTGGGGCACAGATTGATTATGTTTCTTTGTAAAGGACATATTATAACTATTGCCTGAAGTCTGCCTTAGCTCAGCTGATCTCTGTCAACTCTGCTTAGTAAGAATGAGCACTGAGAAAATGCAATAAACAGGTTTTATGAAACCAAAATGAGCAGATAAGCTGATGCAGAATCTGATACCCGTTCTTCTTCCCTCCCTACACAGAGTGCGAGCCCATAGAAGCTATAGCCAAGTTTGACTATGTCGGAAGATCTGCACGAGAACTGTCTTTCAAGAAAGGAGCTTCCCTTCTGCTCTATCACCGAGCATCTGAAGACTGGTGGGAAGGAAGGCACAATGGAATTGATGGCCTTGTGCCTCACCAGTACATAGTGGTGCAGGATATGTAAGCAGTGTCTCCCATGACCAGGTTCTTGGTGGGGTGTAAAAACATGCTGAAGCAATTAACAAACTGATTTCCAAATGGAACAGTGGTTTAAAGGCTCAGATAGATTAAACGTTTGCCTTCTATGCAGGATGCCTCTGTCTTTATTGCCCTGAATTGACAACTCTTAATCAAAAGCTACCACTAGGCTAAGCTACTTTATTTATGGATATGTTCCCAGTACATTAAGAGACAGATGCTCCTGCACCTATTTTAATTTGCCTATCTCATTGTAGCAATTGCAGACATTTAAATTCAGAATAGCAAGGGCTGGAGAAACGCAGTTTTACAGTATTAAGCATGTGCTTTGCCAAGGATGACAGAGTTCTTGTTTACAGAAAGGTTACAGTCAAAATATAAAGAGCTCAATAAACAAAAGGATTATAAGCAATTTTTGGAGACATGGAGGGGCTGCAGTGCATTATAACATGCCTGCTTTTCTTAAGGGGATTAAAACCTGGGAGTGCCAAGATGCTCTCCTTCACACCTAACTCACTGACTTCTCATCTCACCATGTGTGTTCTGTTCAGGGATGATACTTTCTCAGATACACTGAGCCAAAAAGCAGACAGCGAGGCCAGCAGTGGACCCATAACCGAGGACAAGTCATCATCAAAGGACATGAACTCTCCCACCGACCGTCACTCTGACGTGTACTTAGGAAGGTAAGCTTGAACATAACGTTTTCAGTAGCACTGCTTACAGCTCAGGTAACACAGCAATTACTTCTCCACGTGGTAATGGTGGGTCACTACAACTGGTCCTATAACCACTTCTTCATTGGTGCAGGCAAAGAAAGAGATCAGAACCTCCACCTCCTCTAAGACGCCCCGGCAGGAGCAGTGATGGTCACTGCCCAGTACACCCACCTCACCCTCTCTCCAACTCCTCCATGGAACTAGGTTCTCCCAACCTGGCAACTCACTGCAGTCCCAGAGCCCTCCTTCAAAATCGCAACCTCAATGCCGACAGCCCTGAAAGGAGGCGTAGACCTGGACATGGCAGTCTGACTAACATCAGTAGGCACGATTCTCTGAAGAAGGTTGATAGCCCTCCAATTAGAAGATCGACATCATCTGGTCAGTACACAGGTTTCAATGACCATAAGCCACTGGACCCAGAGACAATAGCTCAGGTTTGTGTCTTTTTTATTTTATGTCACTCCCTGATTTTCTGAGGAGCAAGTCTCAGTGAATAGCATAGCACAGAACATGTACACTGGTAGGAGTGTGTGTGCAGGAGAACATCCTACTTAGCTTTTTAAACAGGGTGCCTGTGATAGAAGATGCATTAAGGGATCCTGGATAGAAGAAGCACAAGGGGGAATAGACATTGCAGAAGCAATAAAATAAAATTATTTCCTGCTATACCATAATAAAATTGCCTCTGCCACCCAGAACACTAGGATAGTATATGATTACAACAGCTATGTAAATCTGTGTGCTCTGAAGAAGGCTGGTCTATTCTAACTAATTAGTGTCCAATTATTTCTCAGTATTACACTTTGCAGAAAAGCACTCTGACAGGCTAGTAGCAACCATTGCCATTCAAAGCACAGATTTACATTCCAGGGTCTTGTGGATTTTACATAATTTTCATATAGTTCATACTGTATGTTGATTTGATGCTTGTAGTTGTTCCTAAGAACATGGTGTTCAAGACATTCCACCTGCATAAATCATGGGCTGTGTTGTTCTGGTGTGAACACTCACCATTCTCATTCCTAGCAGTGAAGAGGTGAGAAGGATGGAATAGGGAGCACCCTGATCATCAAATTGGTCTGTTGTACAGAGCTGTTAACAGCTCTTGAGCAATTAGATACTACTGTCTTCAGAACTTGCATTTGGTCTAGGTAGTATAACATTCTAGGTAGCACCTCGAATACTGTGTTCAGTTTTGGGCCCCTCACTACAAGAAGGACATTGAGGTGCTGGAGTGTGTCCAGAGAAGGGCAGCAACGCTGGTGAAGTGTCTAGAGCACAAGGCTTATGAGGAGCAGCTGAGGAAACTGTAGTCATTTAGCCTGGAGAAAAGGAGGCTGAGGGGAGACCTTATCACTCTCTACAACTGCCTGACAGGAGGTTGCAGCGAGGTGGGTGTTGGTCTCTTCTCCCAAGTAACAAGCGATATGATGAGAGGAAATGGCCTCAAGTTGCACCAGGGGAGGTTTAGACTGGATATTAGGAAAACTTCCTTCACCGAAAGGCTTGTCAAGCTTTGGAATAGGCTGCCCAGGGAAGTGGTGGAGTCACCATCCCTGGAGTTATTTAAAGGATGTGTAGATGTGGTGCTTAGGGACATGGTTTAGTGGTGGACTTGGCAGTGCTGGGTTAACGGTTAGACTTGATTATCTTAAAGGTCTTTTCCAACCTAAACAATTCTGTGATTCTGTGATTCTATTCTATGATTACTAGGGGCACTCTGAGGGTACTATATGATTGCAAAGGTATTTTACAATAACTCTGGTACTTATGTTTGAAAATGTAATGTACTGGTGATGCTTTCTTTCAAACTCTACTTCCACTGATGGATAGAAGGGACTGTCGTGCTTGCATCAGAAAGGTAAACCATGTATTAGAGAGTTAGAAAGTGTAAATATTTTTACTGTTTTATGTTACTATTAGTTGTTTATTTACTTTCCTGGAACCACACACAGTGCTATTTGGTTTAAGCTGGTTTTTTTGATGCCTAGACTACTGATCATTCGGCAGTGAAAGAACACAAACTTTGATTAACTGCATGCAAGTTACTGTGAGCAAGCAGGGAACACCAGATATTTAACCTCAGTTGTATCTCAATACCACTGAAAAATTTTAAACAAGTGTCCTAGTGCATTCTTTTAGCATTTGTGACAGAAATTCTGATGAAAAAAATTTACTAGCTAAGCTCACGGAACAATGTCTTGCAGTTTTTTCTGCTTAAAATTTAACTCAGAGAAACAGGAGGAGAGAATAGCTGATAGACAAACAAGCTTTATTTCCTTAGAAAACCTGGTTTATAATCCGCGTGAGAGAATACAGATCCTGAACACCTGGGGCCCTAGAGGAGGGGAGCAGTCAGCTAAGAAGTAGCAAATGGACTAAAATCTTTACAGCTGTCAGTACCAAAGAGGGGACAGAAGTCTTCAGAGTTAAATGTGCTGCTAAGCAAATATTCGTAGTCCTGACAATCACTTAATAAAATGGCTTGCAGGTTTTCATTCAATTGAATTTTTAAAATTTTTAGATTAAATTTGACTCTGTCATGTGAACAGGTTAAATATGTGTAATGTCCAGCCAAAGCTGCCATCTTTCATCATCAATCATAGTGTCTTTCAAATAGATCTGGTGGAAACTGGCTTTCACACTATAATACTCGTTAAAGAGAGGATGGTTGGCAAATTAACTCAACGCATTTGTCACCTCCTCTTTCCCACTCCTCCCGTACTTTGCATTCAGTAGCAATTCGAATGATGTGCCACTCTCTCTGTGCTCTGACCCAGGACATCGAGGAGACAATGAACACGGCACTGAACGAGCTCCGTGAGCTGGAGCGGCAGAGCTCGGCGAAGCACGCCCCCGATGTCGTGTTGGACACCTTGGAACAAATGAAAAACACCCCCACCCCTGCCACCTCCACGGAGTCGCTCAGCCCTCTCCACAGCGTCGTTTTAAGGAGCTCCGAGCCTCAGATCCGCCGTAGCACTAGTTCTTCCAGTGACACCATGAGTACTTTCAAGCCCATGGTGGCCCCTAGAATGGGAGTGCAGCTGAAACCTCCTGCTCTTAGGCCAAAACCTATTGTTCTTCCAAAAACAAACCCTAGCATAGGGCCTTCCCCTCCTTCCCAGGGTCCAGCTGACAAATCTTGCACAATGTAGACAGCTCAGCCACCCACAGTGCCCGGCTGGGGGATGCTAGGGAAAGGGATGGATTAACGATAGAAGTCAGGGCTCCATAACATCGTTTGTTCATGTTTGTAACTGGAGAGGCTTTGTTTTTCAGTGTTTTTGAATGTATTGTCTGAAACTAGCTTAACATGGGCATTTGTATTTTGTATGGTTTCAATTAAAAGAAAAACTGGACAATTGTGCATCGTTTTAAAAAACAAACATAGACTTACTTGAAAACTTGATGCTGCACCGTTTGTAATAAAACTGACACGGACCACAAACAGCTTGCCACATCGTACCATACTTCACAGTCTTACCGTAGCTATATAATAACAGACCCTGCACAAAACTAAGGGGCGGGAGGGTCAGGGGAGGTGGGACCTCTCATTCTCTGGGTCACCAAACCAAATCTTAAGCAGGTTAGTAAGAGCTGAAATCTAGCATGTGAGGATTAAGTGTCTGTGTGGAATGTCTAAGTCATCTCAGGCCACATTTCTTATTTAAGACACACCAAAAAAAATCCACCAAACCCTCACAACTCTCACAGTTGGCACCAAGTTTTAGCTTTCTTGTTGGCAGTCTCACAGCACTGGATGGGACTAGAGACCACATTGCTCTCACTGGTAAAAAGCAGCATTCCAGGTCACAGCTAAAGCACATCTCCAGGATAGTATCTAGAAACTCCTTTTACTGTCCTCTGTAATAGTGTACCTTTTCCCATGAAGCCAGACCTTCATTCCTTGATACCACATTTTTCACAAAAGCTAAATTCATTTAAAGTTCATAGTTGAGCGAGCCAGGCTCTGGGGAGTACGTGAATCTGTTGGTCCATTAGGCAGGCTGATAGGCGATTAAAAGGATCAACTACACAGTAATTCAGCAAAGTATCCCATTGACTTTATTGCTCAGTGTCCAATTAAAGACATGATTTGAGTTGTACGAGTCGGAGTTTCGAGCTGAGCTAGCTCCGCTGGCTGCCTTGCACGGCGCAGATGCTGCGCGCATCCGCAGTTATGCTGACGGCAGCAGGACAGGGACTCCATGAAGAGGGACTGCCTCCTGCCAGCAATGCAGGGGTCACTCACAGGACAGACAGCCGAGTTTCTGCTGCCTAGATTCAAGCTGGCTAAAGATTTCCATAACCACTTTTCCCTCTCTTCCCCGTTTTTTTAGCTGACAGAAATCAGTACCTTTCTTATGTCTGTGTGAGTGAGGACTGTCAACTTTGCTTAGCGCTCTGTTGTTAAACTTTGTTAGGCGTGAACTAAATGTACAGCTGTTTTGCACATTGCAACAGTAAGCCATAATATTATTTCAGTGAATATATTTTCCAAAAAACAATTCATAAAATAAGTTTCAGTGAAGAAGATGGGGGGAAAAAAACAAAAAGTTGTGGTCCACCTACAGGAGTACAACTGACTTTAAGTAAGATCTGTCTTTCCACGTAAATAATTAAGATCACACCATTGGAAACCTTGAAGTTGTACCACTCACTATACAATTGAGTTTGGGAGGGGAAGAATAGTGACAAAATTTGATAGACATAATTACTGAGGTGACAGGAGCAATTTCCTGTTATTTAGGAGCAACTTACTCCTGCTCTGGTTTACACCCTGTAGATAGGTAATGCAAAGCCCCAGGTGTGAAAAGTACCCCGCGGACCTCCTCGGAGAGCCAAACAGCGACGGGTATTTGCAAACCCTTCTCAATCCAGCCGCAGGCTTCACGTGCATCTAGGTTAGAGGCGAAGTCTTAATCCACCACAGCGGACTGTGCAGCATCAGTCGGCGAAGCTCCAGCCCTCCCGACTGTACTGCCCAGTCCTAACGCCAGGGCAAGAGCCTAAGCCAGGCCGGCCCCAGCTGCAGACCAGCGCTGGTCTACAGGGTCTGTTCACTCGGTCGGGACCAGAGACATTTTCAAGTAGTTCCCCAATTTACTAGAAACAGTGGAACAAACTGGAATTTCAGCTTTCATTCACATGCAGTTTTAGTCTAGCGTTTTTAAATTAACCCACCTGGTATAATTGAGATGGATACCTGTATCTTTAAATTGCATAGGGAATTTTGTATGTTTAAATAACTGTACTGGACTCCATAATGCTTATCTTAGAAATTGTTTAGCAAAAGAAAATATTAGAAACAGTGCATTTAGTGAATGCATCCACTTAGGGCATTCACACAGTTAAATGTGTAGTTTGATGGTTATTATAGATACTTAAAAGTATAGTAAGTGGATATGTAACAGGAAAGACTGCTACAACTACAGACGTACTAAAGGTAACTCCTGCACACCTAATCCAATCAGTATTGTCCTTTACTGTCAAGTTTGATAAATTGCAGTACTGGTAGCTTCCTGCTTGTTGACTGTTACCTAATTGTGTCAATGTACATCTGTAGTATGTACATGTGAAAGTGCCTTTAAATTTTAGAGGAGCTTTAGCCTTGCTCTTGTACTGTTGCATTTCCATTGCATCCTTCCCTGTTCGTGTATGGCTGCATTCCCATTGCATTCCTTCCACTCTCGAAGAACGAATGAAAACATGGAAATTTCACGGTTCTGGAAGAGAAATGTACTGTTAATCTGTTGTGACAATGCACTTTTATGTATAGTACTGTACATTTTTGGCATGTACCATTACAAGCTTCAGTATACATTCAGGTTTGTTCCTCATAGTGTATCTTTATAATAAAGAAGATGATAGTTCTGTCTGTGCGGTGTAGTTTTGCTGGGTAAACCGCCGTGTCTTCTAACATGGATTGCCAGTCGACATTTACCTTCCCCATAAAGGGAAAACAACCAGCATCCCCCAGCCACCCACCCCACCCGCGTCACGTCCCATCACCGTCTTGGCCTGAAGAAGCGCTTGTTCCCAGACGGGCTCCTACCTAACTTAAGAGCACCATGCCCGTAAGCTCACCCAAGTCCCTCCCTGCCTGAAGACCCCGACACAAAGAGCCACCAACCTCGCGCGGTTCTGCCCAAGCACCCGTCGAGGGCGGCCAGGGCCAGAATCCCCTGCTCAGCCAGCACACACACACACACACACACCCCCCGCTCCTCGCAGGATAAAAAGGGGTGGAAAAAAACCACTCCAGCTTCCGCATTGTAAAAACACGGTCCCAGAGTGAGGAGAGCATATATCAATACCCGAGGACATTCCTTACAGCAGAAGAAGGGACGCCATCACGCTGCGGGGGGGCAGCGCCACAGCTACAGGTTGTTTTCAGGGACCTTACGTCCGAG